AACACTATTATATATATATATATGAATTTTAATATTAATTTATTTAGTCTCTTTCGATGTTGACGTTTAACGATAATTCATTTAATTAATTATTAAATTAGGTGTTGCGCGATCGTGGACAAGGATTTGGTATTTTGGTTTCCAAATTTCCGAAGGAGACTTGTGCTACTTACTCCCTCAAAGAGCCTTCCGAGGCAAGTTTTTTTATTTTTTTATTTTTTATTTCTAGCCAGTTAACCTTATTGATGGTCGCATTTCATTTAAATTAATTATATTTTATAAAATGACTTATGAATTTATGATCAAATTTTTATGTTTTATAATATTTTTCAAAAGGACTTGATCGAGTCTTTTAGGTAAAGTTAAATCTATAAAAACTTATATTTCATTTGGGACAGTTTTTTTACTGTTTCTTGAAGCAGTTTTTTTGATACAAATTTGTTAATATTTGTGCTAAAAAATTACTTTAAGAATCAGCAAAAAGACGTCCCAAGCAAAGCCTTAGACTAGAAAGTATTAGAATTATTTTTTAAAAAATTGATTTATCTTTTATTTGGGTCAGTTTTCTTATTGTTTTCTAAAGAAGATTTCTAATATAAATTTTTTTTTGAAAGTAGCGAGAAAACAGTGGCCAATAGCTCTCCCAAACGAAGCTTTGCATGAGAATTTGACTCTTAATATGATGCAATAAAGAAAAAAAAAATTCATATAGCAGATCTCATGTAATGAGATAATTACTTGATGTTATGGAACAAAATAGATAAAATATTTTTCTTTGATTTGAATTTTTGTAATCCAAATATATTGGGCTATGGTCAATTAGTTTATTCTAATCATATTTATACTTTTCATATATAGGTCAAGGAATTCTTGCGACGTTTGGTTGAGTGGAGGCGAATTTCTCTAAAGGCTGAGCATAGGGTGGGTGTAAAGAGAAATTAAATATATTTTGATGAGTTTACAATGTCAAAATACTCACCTACTCACTGTGTATTCATAGAAAACTTTCTTGTTTGATGTAACTTCTTTCAATTTCCCTCGTTTTGTGGTGGGACTTCTTTGTGGGGATCTCATGCCCCGTAACAAGATAGCTCATGCAAGTGTCATTAAATGATCATAGGAAATATTGCCTTCTTTCTTCTTTTCTTGTACTTAAAGATAATTCATTAATTACATGAGAAAAAAAAACTTTTTATCATGTAATTAATTGGTTTTAAGATTCTATTTAAGATGACTGTAACATTTTATAAAGTTGATTGTGAAAGTTTCGTGAGGAGAATAATTTAGCTGCTTTAGCTGCAAAAAACAACTGTTTGTTAAAAAATCTTTGAAAAATAATAAGAAAGTAAAATTATGATTGTTACTTCAAAATTTTAGCTTGGTTTGTGGGTGAGTACAATTGGAAACCCCTCAACCAGTACTCAATTTCCCTCGAGCGTCAGGGCCTCTTAAAGTGGGGTTCAATCAAGTGCAAGTCAGGAGGTTTCTGGGGTGGGTGCCTCTTCTAGGTCAGCCGAGAACTAGTCATGCTGCTAAACGCTCTTTCGGGGGTTGCAGCGTGTGGATACTCTGTTTCCAAAAATAATGATAGAAAACTATTTCAAATAGACCCAAAGTACAAAGAAAAAGGAGAAATAAGGTATTTTTTTTAAATATGAACATTTAATCTGGTTTAGTTTACTTTGGCACGTATGTATTTGATTGACTAAAATATTAATTACATTCAAAGGAGTTTGTATGACTAAAAAAAAGTCAATTTAGCTAAGTGTGACGAAATACAATTGGTGCAGATGTCTAATATTTTGCTTCATCGAAGTCTTCTTCCTTTCACATGAGAAGCTGAAATGCGTGCGTTGGGTGGAGGGTGCGAGTGGGTGTGTGTGGATCTGTCTTTTTTAACGTATCTGATCATTGAAGTTTGAACGAAAGGGAAGGCATTGTCTCTTTTGCTGCAGCTGTTTTGCTCTGTAAACCATGCAGAAGCGTGTTCTTACTGAGACGGATTGTTAAGGGCATTACAGGACCTGATCAGAAGTTTCTGCAAGCCATGAAGCCTTTGATCGGGTCGTCGGTGGAAGTGAAGAAATATTGAGAGTGGATATATAGATTTCGGTAAATTAATAGTCAAATTTAACGTCTCGATGAGACTAACATAATGACATCAAAAGTGACCTAATTTAAATCCAAGTTAGCTGAAATCTAGTATTTGAAGCATAATTAAAAAATTTAGATATTAATGGCCTCTAAACATTGCTAGTCGAATCAAGCATCTCAATGAAATGAATTCAATGAGCCCAAAAGTGCTTAATTCTAATATTATTAAGACATTTGAATATTGAACTGATGATCTATGATCAAGAAAATCAATATAAGTCATTCAATGAAATGCTTCATATTTTCTTTATATTTACAGAGCTTTAATTTCTGCTCTAAAAATTTTATAAATATGTCTCTGTTCTTTAAGTAAGATGAGTTGAAACATAAACTTGAGATTCAGATTCAAGAAAGCTCATGACTCTAAGAATCTCAGTCCTCACCTAAGCACCATCGTTGGATCACATTCCAACCTTCATCAAAGCACCACCTGACTGTCGCAATCAAAACACCACATGGTCATCGCCATTGGAACACTACTAGATTATTATTGTCAAGCCACCACCATTCGTTCGCCATGATTGGTCGTGAGCATCAAATCAATAAAGCAGTTGTCATATCAGTACTATAAACCAGTAAAGAAATCGTATAAAACGGTAAAATCAAAACATCGGAAAAAACAATCAGAATCATATCAATTCACTAAAATCCTGTAATGATGTACACATACTATCCAATTATTTTATATCAATATCAAATTAATATCTTAATCACATACTAAGTATATCACATGCTTAGTATCAGTACAACGAATCAATAATAATAACAATAACAATAAATCAGTAGTAGTATCAAACAGTATCAATGTTCATAACGATAATAGTAAAATTAATGGCAGGAATAGTAAAATAATACTATAACAATAAATTCATATAATAACAACAAATCTGTACATTAACAATAAATCCATATACTAATAGAACCAATTTCTCAATAATATACATTTCAGTGGTCACACTAAAAGTAAGGTCTAGCTACCATGATATTTTTTAAGAAGTAATCAATAATAAGTAATCGTTTGCTCAGTAAATAGAATCGTCGCTCTTTGTCCGACGGCACAGTAATCATCTCCATATAACTTATAATCGTTGTATTATTGTATCAAATGAATGAGTAGAGGATAACACTCAACCATATTATTTAAAGGAAAGTTCGTCGGGTCACCATCTTATACAAATCAAGTCTTTTACTCATATAACAATAAAAATAATAGCTACCATGATCGCATATTCATTACTTTTCTCAATGGTTGTATTAATAGCATGCTTAAATAAAAATACTAAATTTCTATGTAGTGTAAATCATACAAAATTCAATAACCTCTATCTTATCCGGTGAAAATCATAAATGTTACCATCAAAATATTCAGAATAATCATTACAACAACATACAAAAAGTTGTGTGGAAAATCAATAAATGTTCAATAAAGCCATAAAAGATTCAATAAAATCAATTTCAAGAGAAGTCAGTGATCAATTAAAATCAAAATCTTTGAAAACAAATATAGGATATGTATCATCTACTTCGGTTTGAACAAATTTTGTAAAAGTGGCAAAATAATCTGGTGACCGAAAATTGAGATTTTATTATTTTTTATTTAACAATATATACAAATACATCTATCCATGCATATACATCATAATTTATATA